CTGAAGAGAATCGAACCCACCCCGTCACAGTTGGGTGATCGGAAGGCAGGCACTCTAACCCATTGGACTATTGGCGACGGGTTGGCCGGCGGACGAGCGGAATCCTTTTATCCGGCTTTGTCCCATTTTGATTGGCTTAGGGCAGAGCGGTCCCCATGACTGAGGGATATTTTTCCTAATCAGCCTGTTGTAACCAGGACTTGGTAGTTAATGCCTCCCGACAAGCTCGGCCGTGTTCAGATCAGCTAGTAGATGCGCAGGAAGATCTTGTGTAAAGACGACTTGACCTATTTCCGTTTTTCGTGAGGGATTCCATCATCGTCTTCATATCGGAAACAGCTCATTAGGGCGATGTTCCCAGCGTCAGTACCTGTGTCACACCACGCCCGCGCCCACAGTCCTCAATAATGCACCACCACCGCCCGCCTGTACCTGTGCACTGCCCGACTGTCAGTCGCCTGACAGCTACACTGGTGTCAAGCACATCGCCCAACACGGTCGCCGCAGTCCGCGGTCCGCAGCTCGTGCCCGTGTCTGTGCGTCAGCGTCTGACGCTGTGCGGGGCGGCTGATGGTGCCCGGCTAGAGCGGGCCGCCGCGCTGTTTCGACTGCGTAATGGAGCGAGGAGGAGGAACTGTGGTGAGTTGGCCAGCTGTTGCGAGGAATGCCGCGAAATCTCAGCGGGACGTTTCGTGCAGTTGTGGTGATTTGCGCAGCTTTTGCTGCAGTTTACCGCTTTGACAATCAACGGATTATCAGAGACCTCGTTCTCCTCAGTAAATGCACTTCGCGCCTTCAAAAAGTGCAGGAGTCTGCGGTTTTTTAACATTGGTATTGGCAGCATTATTGGCAGCATTGGTATGCATTCTGAAATGTATGCAACCTCGCAACCCAGCCCGTTATCGTCTTTGCACTGACAGTAGCTCAGATACGCATTGCGTCCAGAGATCAAGTTACGCTTGTGTACAGTACCGCATTTATTCTAAAGATCTTACGTTCAGAATTATCATTGGCTCAGTTTTCTCGAACAATGTATGAAGCTTATTAATTTCTCTTCCTTTGGCTTAGTATGGTCACGCAGCGAGATGTCGTTATGATGTATATTATGATTGGGTCGAGTCAGCCGAATCCGAACCAGAATAGATGTGGCAAGTCAAAAAGATGTGGGATGATATTAACGCGTTGTAATCACACTTTATGCAGTGTTACGGAATGATTGGAGGAAAGGCGTACAGAACGTACGAAGCGATTAGTACGACTTAACATGGCAATAATCGCCACGCCTCGGGCAAGGTCGACATTATGCAAACGCCAAGGTAACTTGCAAATTACCCAGCCATGTTGTCGTAACGAAAATCGTCTTTTTGGGAGTGATCTCACGTGATGCGTCAAAGCCAAAACACTTGAATAGTCCCAACGCCTTTGGGACCATCTGCTAATAATTTGAGTGTTTGTGAATGAGCAATCCAACCTCCGTTAAGCGGGCACCGTCAAATCATTTGTCTTAATCCACACGACGGCATTACGCTATTTCTAAATAGCCCGCATACTTCACTGACAAGTTCCACATTCATCAACAGCACCGTGGAACAGCCTTCCATCAAAGCAAAATAAATTACCACGAACGTGCGCTTGTCACGGCGCATGATAACTATCATCATCCGCAACAAACAAACAGGCATCCGCAGTCCTCGCACCAAATAACAACCATCTGCTTGTCAAACATCTGACATTTTTTAAACCCCACCCACCAGCAGCACATTCCACGTCGGAACGTGCGAGGAAGTTAGCTAGTCCCGCCCTCATGAAACGCTCGCTTTACAATATCCGCTCACCAGCCTCGGGTGCTTGAGCGCGTGTTGCTGCCGTCGTTGTGCAGGATGTGCCCCTCCCCACCAAGCCCCATGGTACCGATGCCAGCTGGGTATTGACCCGAAGTGCATGGGGTCGTGCGGGCAACACGAGCACACAAACGCTGACGTCATACGGAGAAATGTGGCCGTGACGGCGGCGGCGGCGACGGCAGCGCCCGTCCACAGGGACGTGACGTTAATCTCAAGTCCTCACGCTCGGAGCTAGGGGGTCTTAATCAAGGTCAGTGTAGCATATCCGCGGCGAAGTTGTGTCATGCAGCCAGTCTGAACTTTGGTGGCTCACCGTCTTTGCGGACCAAAAATGTGGCATGCCCTGATCGTGTGGAAATTGTACCGGAGGCCCCCGAACTCGATGCCTGGCTTTGCCCATAACTGCCGTCGGCTTCGGAACACTCGGCATGATAAGCCTGTCTAGCTTTCCAGTTCCTCAGGGCGAAGCTTGCACTTTGTCCGTGGTGTGAGTACAGGCGATGAGCGTCATCAGGCCCCAATAGCGTTGTTCTGTTCACGGTCGCACGGCATGCACTTAAGGCTGGCTTAGCGTCACGTGACCTTTGTTCATGAGTGGTGGACGTAAAGCCGGACTGGTCAGGTGAGCGGTGCCCCTTTGATCAGGCTGGGTAGGGTATAGCCAGCATAAACCCACCTCTGGCGTTCCGTCGCTTGCCTTCAACATGAAACTGGGATTTTTTTTAAATGTTAAAAAGTTAGGTAAAGTTAAGGTTAAAAAGCTAAAAAAGTTTAAAAAGTTACACAAATTGAAAAATGTAGCCGAGGTTGGCTGGATAACATCGACAAATTTAAAATGCGTCGCGTTCAGTCTAAACATTCTTGGGACAGTCTTTGCTCGCATTGGCTCGAACTGGAAATGCAGCCCAAGCTAAATGGCCTGTACCCTTCAGTCGAAACCAGGGCATCTGTGGGCGCCATGGATGACGGGGTTTGTTCAGCTAATGGGCGAGCTCTTTATGGCTCTTGAACATGCGCTAGATATCGCTTGAGCAGAATCGGCTTCAAGTGCGATTCGTCCCAGACTGAACAACACATCGCCGTTTTCAGTCGACTGAGATTTAGAGTTAGAGGTGTTTGCTTCGCGGAGTGTAGCAACAGACGAAAGCTTTAATAAAGTTGACATTAAAAGCACTGCGTGACATCTGTGGATGCACTGTTTGCCCACTGCATGGCCTTGATTGTGCGGTCACGGAAAAGACTAAGTAAACATATGATGAAACGCTTCACAAAATATTATACGATAGCTCGGTATGTAAGCTCCAAGGTCACAAAAACTTGACTGACCACATACGAAATGTCAATGCAGCGGTCAAATACCTTTGAGATATGTGTACCAAATAAGGTTCGTTGTTTGTCTCTTAACATCATGGTAAAATACTTATGCAAAATGATATATCTGGGATGGTCTGTGCGAAAATTTGAGACATTTCTACTCATTTACTTTGGGTCAGTTTTCAGATGAGCTTTCAGACCCTTTTAAAAGGGAAAAATACACATATGATGCACCCTTGCGTATTTCACCGCGTGAGGATAGGGTATTTATTTGTTGTGTTGGTGACAGTTCAGCACCTGCTTTTCTTTCCCCAAATACTTTTGGTGTACAACAACAAGAGTACAACAATCGGTTAATGCTGGGAAAGTGCTCATCGTGCGTTTCAGTGACAATTTACATAATGGTATGAAACAGTGGTTTTCCTGGAACCGCATTTTATCCTGAAGCACGCCAAGGAGCCGACAAAACAGCTCATCGGCGTGTGATAAACTCTGACCATGCTACGACAACACTAACCATCGATCCAAACCAAGTCGCCATTGCAATCGCCCGAAGTCATTATGACACAGCACTATTTGTTGAATGGCGAACCAACGTCAGTCCCCCATGAAGCCAAGGCTGGCGTGATACACTTAAATAGCCTGTAGCGGTATTCATCATCCCACTCCGGTCAAGAATAGAGGGCTAGTTGCAGCCGGGTCTATTACTGGCGTAAATTGAACTAACGTCAGTGGCGTTTACGCTCGGCCGAGACCGTTCTGAACGACCGTTGTGTCCATACCGTCCACTGCGTGCATTGCGCTCGTTACGCTCACATTAGTCAGCTTTTGAATGTGGCTCAATATTTGCTGCAAAGAACGCGTTGTTTAGAAAAGGGACCATGACCTACCAATGCGGCACCATTTCCACGCAATTTATAAACATACAGTATCACACGGTCATCGGAACGGGTACTGGCACAGGCAGATGTTCTTCATGTACATTCGTAAGAAATAGGGACCCTAAATGTTCGATTCTTCGAAGCATGACCCCCGCTGCGGTCATCACCTCATGTGAGTTGTTGGGTGATCAACAACAGCCCGGGAGAGGTTGCAGCTGCAATATCCTCCGGTGCTTGCTGCATGCACAGCTGTACACGCTGTGTCTGCCCTGTTGCAGAATGCATTATGTTTGTTCATGTTCATCAGGTATGTGACAAAGATACAATACAGAATTTCTTATCATTCATTCAATGCTGAAGACACGCGGAGATCATGGCTTCTAGTTGCATATGGTCTGTGGCGCCTTCTCCTGCTGACCTCACCTTCCAGCGTGTTCTTCACGGCTGTTGTAACGCTGGCCTAACATTTCGGTCTGTGACTGTGTCTGACTGGACTGTGTCTGTGACTGAACTGACTGTGTCATGTACGCCTGTTTGGCCGCTAACGTGACCTCTCAGCGCGTTCTGACCCTTTGCTTCGGCTCCGACCTGACCTCCCAGCGCGTACTGATCCTCTGATTTGGCACCGACCTGACCTCTCAGCGCGCCCCCTCCTGATCCTGCTCCGACCTGACCTCTCAGCGTGTCCTGCCTCCCGCTGATCCGGCTCCACCTGACCTCTCAGCGTGTTCTGTCTCCACCTGATCCGGCTCCACCTGACTTCTCAGCGCGTTCCCTCCCCCCCCCCCCCCCCCCCCACCCCCCTGATCCGGCTCCGACCTGACTTCTCAGCGCGTTCCGCCCCCGCTCCCCCCCCCCCCCTCCCTGCCTGATCCGGCTTCGACCTGACTTCTCAGCGCGCCTGCCCCTTGATCCGGCTCCGACCTGACCTCTCAGCTTGACCCGGCGCCCTCCGTTTCAGCTCCCGAACGGCAAGCAGGCTTGGGAAGGGACGCTCGAGCCGGGCACCGGTGGCGAGGTGAAGGAGTACAAGTCCCTCGCCTCGGCTGCACACAAACGCTGGCTACGGAAAAACCAGGTCAGCACAGCCGCTCATGCAGCTCCGAGTGAACAGCTCCACATCTGGCGACCCAGTTTTTACCTCTCTCTGTAGATGACCACGGTGTCTTGCATACTGAAAACGTTTGTTGGTGCTTTGCGCGTCACCGGCCGCCAAGGCCGTTTCCAGACGGGATGGCTTCATAAGGTGTCATGTGGGATGTAGTACTGGCGTGGCCGGGACCCGAACCACGGACCACAAAGTCCAGAGGCGAGAACCCTAACATTACACCGCCACGGCTCTCGCCTCTACCAAACAAGCCCCACACCATGCACCGTCAGGGACGTACAAGCAGCGTATGTGTACTCGGACGGCCGGTTTTATGCTTTGTTCAAGTGTGAGTGGACGCACATGCATGGTGACGCCATGGTAGCCGCGTGGGTGACGCCGTGAGGGCGGCATGGGTGACATCATGGGAATTGCGTGGGTGGCGATATGGCAGTGGCATTGGCCACGTCATATGAACCTCTTGAGTGACGTCATGGCAGTCGCATGGGTGACGAAATGGGAGCCTCATGGGTGACATCATGGGAGTCTCATGAGTGACGCCATGTGAGCCTCATGGGTGACGTCATGGGAGCCGCGTGGGTGACGCCTGACGCCGCCCGCCAGGTGGAGGACGTGGAGTCGTCGCTGCAGAAGGATGGCCAGGGAGGCTTCACGGCCTCCTCCGCGGCCAACATTGTGCTGTATGTCGGCCTGGGCATGGTAGCCGTTGGCCTCATCATCACCTTTGTCGGCCTCGGGGAGCGGGGGTGAGTACACGTGGATAGCGTGCTAGGTAGGGGTAGCGGATGGTACAGGCGGGGGCGGTTTCAGATAGGAAAGCGGGGGTAAAGGTGGGAGTGGGTGCCGACCTCGGAGCGGGGGTCAAGTCAGGTGCCAAAGAGGAAGAGCGCGGAATAGGGAACAATGGATATATGAATTTGAGGGGAGGGATGGGCTGCAGTGGTCATGAGCCATGGAAAGGAGCGAAGCAGGCATGGAGTCGATCTGGCTTGCTGTTGATACCAATGTTGGACGTCTTGCCTCACATACCCTGATCCTCTAATACTGCATCTGGTAGATTTACACCCCGCATGTGAATGGTGCAGCTAAAAGGTTACCCTTTCACGCAGTGAAGTCGCGGGTGCAGGTGTCCTACATGCTGAAGAGCAGGCGCCGGTGCAGCGAAAGTTTGCTGTAGTGTACCGCGGAGTGGGCGTGGTCGGCACCTGAAGAGATTTCAAAAGGCAACACGAATGATTCAGCCGTGGCCAGCGAGGTAGCATGCAAGCATCAGTCTGCCTGTGACCTGTCTATCTGACACGACCACAGGCCAGCAGCGGCGGTTTGGCAATGACTCGTGAGGCAGTCGCGTTCCGCGCGCACCAGCAGCAGCATCTGCTCGTTTTTCGATGCTGGGGGTCGCCGACTGGCCGCCGGCCCGGTTCCCCCCTTTTGCATCGATCAGAACACTGTCGTGTGTTACGACACGCACGACAATCGCGTCGTAACAGTGGACAGAACCGGCACATGCAACGGCAATATCTGACTGCTGGATGCCTCGCAGTAAACCGTACTGGGTCGCTTTTCTGAGCAAGGCTGTCCACGTAAACAACGTCTGGTGAAACAAGCCGATAAAGCCACCGTTGACACATGCGTGAGCCGCGCCGTTCCGCCGCGGCTTGTTTGCCGCGACCGGGCTCGACCGTTGTCCGACTTGACACGCCACGGGGGAGTGTAGAAGAACGCCGTCGCGGTAGTGGCGTTTGACGCCCCGATCAATGCCTGCGACGTCACGGCGCGACCGGGGCAAATGGCATCTAGCACTGGCATTAAATGGCATGGCATTAAATGGCATGGCAAATGGCATCTAGGGCAAATGGCATCTAGGGCAAATGGCATCTAGGGCAAATGGCATCTAGGGCAAATGGCATCTAGGGCAAATGGCATTAACATCCACCTTCAATCGAACGGTGCGGGCCTGCCGGCCATAACAGCGACGGCGGGTGATTCAGAGTTATCGAGTGCGTTGTATAAGTCGGTGGCGTGATTGGTGCTGAGCCCATTCAAGGGTTAAAAGGTCAGATGACAGGATAACTGACGTGTTGGAAACAAATCGGGTTGACTTGGAAGCGCAGGCACTGTTGACGAACGGAGCAAGTCTCTGGATATGGTCCAAAAGCGTAACGCCGGTTGAATGGGTCGCGGACGGCGTAATCGCCGTGAGAAACTTCCCGCGGCCAGGGATGTTGTTTTGTGAAATCAGTTTGGGGGCTGAACACTGAAACATCATGCAACTTACCGCTAAATTCAGCCAACAAACGACTTTCACGCCGGATTTCGCCCATTTCCTTTTTGAAGTTGGCGGGCCTGAGCACAAGTGGGGGAGGGGGGGGGGGGGCTGGGGATTCAATCTGAATGGAATGGAAAAAGTACACCCCTGCTCGCGGCCAACAGACTTGATTGGAGTCGCTTAAAACCCGCAATATCTCAAGTTCCATTAGCACAACATTTTATTTCTGCATTCATGGTGTTCTATCTGCCAAGGTCATTGATGGTTTTACTAACCAGGTGTTTCCGTTTCATTCGTTAATTGCGTTGGTAAATGGCTAATCAGTGCTCTTGTCCAGTTGCCCATCGCGTGGAGGGCTGTTGTCTAGCAGCTGACAGGTGTTGTGTGAGACATTGAATGCGTCGGTCCTATTGTTATTCTGGGGTCCATGCTGGTCCGGTGCCCTCGCCGCGCGTTCGGCAGTGTGCCCAGCAACGACTGATGCCACTGGCGAGTGTCCGCACCGATGCCACGTGTCTGTGCTGACGTCTTACGGTGCTGGTTACCAACGTCTTTTGGTACTGATGGCTGACACCTGTTGGGACTGGTGACTGACATCTGTCAGTGTCAGTGACTGACGTCTTTTGGTGCTGGTGACTGACGTCTGTCGGGACTCGTGACTAACACCTGTCGGGACTGGCGACCGATGCCTTTTGGTGCTGGTGACTGACGCCTGCAGATGCTGATTACTGACGGGACTGGTGTCTGACGCCTGTCGGGGCTGGAGACTGACGCTCGTAGGAGCTGGTGGCTGGCGCTTGTCGGTGCTGGTGACTCACGCCTGTCGGCACTGGTGATTGACGCTTGTTGGGACTGGTAACTGACACCTGTTGGTGCTGATTACTGACGCCTATCCCCCTCGTCTGGGCAGGTTTCAGACGGACGAGCTGAAGCTGATCGGCCCGAGCCTTATTGGCTCTGGCGTGCTCTTCTGCCTCCTCCGCATATTCTTCTGCACCATCGGCAGTTGTTCCTGCTGCAGGTCAGTGCAGTGCCAACATCGCCCCGCCGGTGCCGGCGCTGGCGCCGGTGCTGGTACCGGTGCTGGCGCTGGCGCCGGCGCTGGTGGTGCCTTCTTCTCCAGCTACCTAATCGCCACGAGGTAGGCCGACTGCCAGAGATGTTCTCCCGCTTGAGCAGCCTCCCGTTTCTGCCAGATTGCTTGCAGAGACGTCCGAGCAAGATGACCCGTCGCTCGCGCGGTGTATACATGTGTGGCTTGATAGTTCGGACCGCTTGCCTGCCGCCACAGATCCGTTGGTGACGCGCGTGTGCTTGGCAGACGGAATGACGCGCGGCGTATACACATGTGGCTTGACAGTTCGGACCGCTTGCCTACCGCCACAGATCCGTTCGTGACGCGCGTGAGCTTGCCTGCCACCACAGATCCGTTCGTGACGCGCGCGAGCTTGCCTGCCGCCACAGATCCGTTGGTGACGCGCGTGAGCTTGCCTGCCGCCACAGATCCGTTGGTGACGCGCGTGAGCTTGCCTGCCGCCACAGATCCGTTGGTGACGCGCGTGTGCTTGCCTGCCGGCACAGATCCGTTGGTGACGCGCGTGTGCTTGCCTGCCGCTACAGATCCGTTGGCGACGCGCGTCGGCTTGCCTGCCGCTACAGATCCGTTGGTGACGCGCGTGAGCTTGCCTGCCGCCACAGATCCGTTGGTGGCGCGTTTCGGCTTGCCTGCCGCTACAGATCCGTTGGTGACGCGCGTGAGCTTGCCTGCCGCCACAGATCCGTTGGTGACGCGCGTGTGCTTGCCTGCCGCTACAGATCCGTTGGTGACGCGCGTGTGCTTGCCTGCCGCCACAGATCCGTTGGTGACGCGCGTGTGCTTGACAGACGGAATGACGACCAGCGGAGCCTGATCACGCCGAAGCCGAGCCGCGTGCGGCGCTCCGCCGGCCCCGTGACGCGACCCTCGGCGCACCCCAACTTCATCAGCGACGGCGAGGAGGAGGAGGAGGCGCCCGGCGCCGGCAGCGGCGGCGGCGGACCTTCCGACCTTGGTAGGGCCCTCAAACCGACCTACCGGCCCAACCTAACCTAACCTAACCGAACCCAGTTTACTGAATGACCAGCCAGTTGGGCTACGGCCCCGGTTCTGACAGCGGAGGTGTGAGGCCCGCTGTAGCGCCATGGTGTCAGACTGCCACGCCGCCTGGGCCCGCGGACCAGCGCAGACTGACGCGCCACCTATGCCAAGGGCACGGCGAGCCGAACGCGCTTAGTCGACGAGCTGTGTCTGATCGACGCGCCATCTATGATGCCCTTCGATCCGAGCTGGCGTGTATGAGCCGGCTTCCAGCTGGCGAGACATAATTAAAACAGCAATTCAGCCCTAAGAAACAAAGAAGAGGGAATATTACCACGCTTGCTCTTTTAACTTCGGGTTACTAAGCCGTGACAGTGATCCAAAGCGGGCATACGATCTTGCAAGTTTGGGGTCACCGACGGTGTAACGCAGGGGCGTCACGTTAACTATTTCTACGGGCCTCAGCTTCCATTGAGCCCTCCCCCTCCCCCTCCCTCTAGGAGTCATCTGGGCCTGCTCAATGCAACTCTCAAGCGAGGTGATATCCTTAGCAGCTGAGCGTGGGGTAATGCCTCAATAGCGCACCCTGTTTCGCAAAACCTGCCCAGCTTAAAGAGCGCTAGGATGCGGATGTTTCTTCGGATTTGTGTCACCGTATTTTGTCATTTGGAAAAAATTGAGGCACACCTCAGAGCTTTGCCCTGCTTTTCAGCATTTGTATTTCATGGGTTATGTGAGAACGAACGGTGTAGCAGTTTTGCAACGACCCTCTTGCATGGTCCAGAGTTTTTCAATATTTATTTCGTTGTTTTTTTGTATTATTTTTTAATCGTCTACGAAAACGACTTCTAGGGTTGGATTGGGTCGCCGTCAACTTGTCAGAGTCCAGTAATAAGCTCGAGAGGTGGGTGGACTCTCCATTCAGACTACGAAGCTAATACATTTTGTTAGATTTGCTCCAATTTGAATCCGGCCTAAGAGGGTCCAGATCCACTCGAAACCCGTAAAATTCATGAAAGGCCGATCTGATCCGAATATAATCCACTCAGAATAAACCAAAGGCTAATGCAGCCAGCGTCGAAAAAAAACTGTTTGATGTAATACAGACATGAAGACTTAAACTAAAGGTTAAAGATTTGGTGAGAATGTCGTTCAATCTCAATACAGAGAAGCCCAGCTGTCAACTGTTTTGATTTCGGACTAAATATGAATTTTTCTTAGCTTAGCGCTTTGACAGTTGTCAATCCAAAGTCCTACCCGAATCCGTGAATTTGCATCCTTTACCCATCCAATCTGCATCGAAATGTCAATGCATCGGATCGCAAGATCCATGAATTGATCCAGTCCGTTTCATTTCGTCCTCTATATCCAGCTGGACACGATCCTACACCCCTGAAGTAAGAAGGCCTTGGAGCACTACCATAAAGCTGACACCTGATCGCGTGTATTGGAAGATGCCGCAACTTTCTACTCATGTAGCTAATGAAACTGTCTGGCTGGGCTTTTAAAAGAGAGCATATTTTGAACTGCCCGAAGAGGTACGTGTGAGCTCTAGCTTCCGAACATCGACGTTCAGCCTGTTCGGTTACATGCGCGCCTTGAATGAGGCCAGAATGACGGCAAGGCTTTCACGCTTGCCGTGTTATGTCATTGACGCCATCACCGAAGCAATCATTACTGCGACTATCCACTTGTATGTGTGTGCCATTTCAAAGCAACTTGTTGTCGTTCCCTCCCCTAAACACGTCGAGCAGCCACCGTGTGTTCTACAAGCACGCTGTCGATGAAGACTCCTGTTGATCCGCGTTGCCGTTAACTCGGCTCGCTTTGTGTGCCGCTGTCCGCCTGCATGCCTGTTTGAAAAGTTCTAATATTTCTAAAAGTTGTGATCGTATTAAAAGTTGTAATATTATTAAAAGCTATAATGTAATTAAAAGGGACATTACTAGGCTAGTGGGTTGATTTGCTAGCAGTCATGGACATAAAGTATTGCTTCGTTGTCGCTATTTTTCCTTTGTGCTTTTGTCACAGATGAGATCAGCAACGTGCCTGTTCTGCCTCCCATAAAGGGAGGGAGGGGCACTCAGCACGCCGGAGAGGTGCTCCTAGATCCCAAGGTAAGAGCTGAAATGCACATATAGAACAAGCGACATTGAAGTTCGTCGAACTGTAGCATGCGCTATTTACCCGGCCCCGTTTTCAATTGCGTTGAATCTCTCAATACTGCTCGTTCTGAGCGTTTGCCACCGACCTGACCGATGACCCCGTGACCCCCCTTTCGGTGATACCATGCTCTGACCGTGACCTCTGTGACCCCTGCGACCCTGATCCGTGCCCGCAGGGCTTGGACCGGCCGCCGTCAGGAGGCAGCGTGATGGAGCCGCTGACACCCGCGCGGCGGCGGGATAGCACGTCCCAGATCGAGAACGAAATAGACGATATGATCAAGTGATCAGACTCGGTCGAGTATCGATTTTTATCTTTACGCACGTGTTGTGAGAACCAATGGCCGTGGCCCGGCTTCGGATTGAGGATTATTGTGAGGACTATGCACCAGAGGAACTTGGAAGAGGGGAGCAAGGAGCCGGAATGGCGTGTCCTCGCGCGTGAACCGGCTGGAATCACCTGTGCTAGGGCTCTCGGCGCTCGTGACCTTCACCGCTAGCTGCGTGATGGATCTCTGGTGAAGCAGCGGGCGTGACGTCACTGAAGGTGCGTGACGTCAGTGGTGCGTGACGCCACTCATGGATCTCTGGTGGGGCAGCGAATGGCAGCGCTGGGGCGTGACGTCACGGGTATGTGACGTCGCAGGTGCGTGACGTCGCTGGTGCGTGACGTCACTGGTTCAAGCGCACCCTGCGATCAGCTGTTGGCCGTCGTTTCGATTTAGTCCGACCGCCTGAGGCTATAGCGGCGACTTGCGCGTCCGGAGCACGTGCGTCGACAACGCGACCCGGGACGACCAGTGAGCGCAACTGTTCGCTGACGCGATAGTTGTTTGTGGCGTAGCCACCGAAGGTGAAGCATTGGGTGATAACTTTTCCGTGGGTCTTAACTCTGGAACCAGAATGCAGAAGACGAGTTAGGCATCGATCTATGAATCTCACTTTCAGGACGGTTGCTTAGGAAGTGGACCGGACCGACACTTCACCAGGATCACCGCCCTGAAATACGCTGTAGACGATTTGGTTGGGTATCAGGCTCGTATAGTTCAGTGTCATGACATTTATGTGAGACCGCTGACATGAAGGATGCCGGATAGATCATTGGTTGGATTGATAGCAATACCAACAATTGTTTTGTGCCTACCGTTGAAGTGTAAATATTGACTACGGTATCTAACGATTTAGGCATTGCGAGCGGTAAGCATCTTGATACGTACCTTAAAAGAGACGGAGTTTTTTCTCAGGCTATTTCATTTCCAAATTGCTATTCAAAACGCGTTATTTTGTCCCTCTATTCCAATATGTTTTAGGTGTCAACAAACAGCCGTATTGCAGTAACTAAGTTTTGCTTACCGCATGCCCTGCGCCGACCGTTAAGCTAACTTAGTGTGCACAGCTCACCAAAACAATTCAATTGCGTACCGTTGTTTAAGCGGGGTCTTGACTGTTAATGTCTAACCCGAACAACAAACCGATACCAAGCGAAAAGCTCAATGCGTGATACTAGGTACCGATAAAATTCAAACGCTGCAGTTGGGCCACGGGATATCGCCACAAAGCCAACCACCACGAAGGCGTCCTCGCCGATACAAGAAACGATCGTCGGCGACGTCTCCCCCTCCCCCCCCCCCGGTGAAAAACACCAGCCGTTGTACAGGTGACATATGAACGGCGTCTCGTGATATGTTTAAGAGTCCAGGACAACAACGTTCTGTTCAGACATGCGTCTACCGCCTTGCTTTTGGGGATCAGGCGTGCTGAGCCAATAGGCCGTTTACGATTCGGCTTAGCTGCAAAGTGCGTAGCATTCCTGAAGGTGCCTGCACTTGTTTGCTTCGAGGACACTGTCTAGTTGACGTGTTTTGCGTTTGTTTATGTGGATGTTGCGCCTGGAGTTTCAGCAATACGCCCTGCGACAGCTATCTCCCGGACATGCTGAGCGCGCTTATACCGCATTCTCGTGAGAAGGGTCGGCGCGTTTTAAGAATGCCTACTGCTGAATGTTCCCATGGCAATATCTGTGATACCTCAACGTGTGTTGTTTGGATTTTGTGGTACCCGTGCGCTTCAGCTTCGGTACTGAACGTTCGAACCGCTCGTTACATCTGAGAATGGGGTATTGGAATGCCTTAATGCGAACCCTACCATTTACGCTATAATCACATGTATTCATGCATAATTAGCGGTTTTGTTCGTTCCGCAATAAATTGTTTGTTCTTCTCGTAAGTGCGCTAGATATTGACCGTTCTGTTGTTCATCAGACAGACAGACAAAAAATTTTTCGTACTGCGCATACTGCAGTCTACGGCTTTGAGGTGCCCTTAAAAGGGTGGAGACCTGGTCAACAACAAATAACTCACTACCAGAGCACAGATGTTGTTGGTATTACCAGGGTAAATGCTGTACTTGGTGTAAACAGGAAAAGTCTACAGCTTCTGATTTTTCGACATTATGAAATTTGATTTTTTATGCTGAGTAATCGACCTTTAATGAGCCAGCATGTACTGGTTAGGGGCTTAAGGAAACAAAGAATGATTACATTGTTAATACTCGGCGTTTCAATCTGTGCTTACCAGATTGTTTACGCGTAATCATAAGCTCAATTTGAAGCGTGGAGTGCTGGCAATATAATCAATTTTTGTTTTATAAGGTCGTTCTACCAGTACACCTAAGTATATAATATATATATATATATATATATATATATATATATATAGCTAAAAAAGTATAGACTTTCTGGCGTAATAAAGGCTGAAAATCAGCATCTCATTTCTGTACACATAAGGGTAAATTTCATTTTAGTTGGTTTACCTCCTTCAAGTGTTATTTATCACTCACCAGCAAGCTTGGATTAGGCACGTTATATTGATCACTGCAATGGAAGATAATCTCCAAAACGGCTGTGTTCCATTTCAGCTTCCTCCCGATTCCACGTGTCTTCTTCCCCCAATCCGAAATGCTCCGCATCTCCTCCGCGCTGAGCAGCGCCGAAAATCATTTCTGCGCCGCCCGTCCGATCGCGAGTCACTTAAGCTGGCACCGAACACAGCTCTTCCATCTGCCCGCGATTCTCAATAGCGGGGAGACTTCCGTCTGCTTCACGCGCGGATAGCTCGCCGTTGCGACGACCGGCGGCGGCCGAGAGTGAGTCCCGCGGTGAGGCCGACAGCTGCCGCTCCCAGGTGGCCGGCCAGTCGGTGACGTATCACGGCGATCTGCGCCGCGGATTTAAACGGCGTCGATTCCCAGACCGGACGCCGGCTGTCCGGAAGCAGGCGGCCCCGCCGGGTCAGCCGATCGACGCTGCGGCGCGGCGGCAGCGGAGGACCGACCAAGGCGCTCGGCGGATCGGAGGAGGGCTCGGCGTGGCCTGACTGTGGAGGCCGGGTCACGGCGTGGAGGCCAGGGTCATGGGTCATGGCGCGGGGTCGGCGTCACGGGTCACAGCGCGTAATCCAGGGTCACGGGTCATGGCGTGGAGCTCGGGCCACGGGTCACGGCGTGCAGTCCGGGGTCACGGGTCACGGCATGGAGTCCGGGGTCACAGGTCACAGAACGAAGTCGAGGTCACGGGTCACGGCGTGAAGTCCGGGTCGCGGGTCACGGCATTGGGTCTGCTGGCCCCGCCGCTGCGGAGATGGACGTCACAGCAAGAGGACATGAGCGGGGTCAAGGGCGGCGAAGTGCTTGGAAGGGTCTGCTGAAGAATTGTGGGACACAGGGCAAGAGCTTATCCACCGGGAGCTGCGGAGTCTTAGGATGTAAATGAGGAAAGAAATGAATGCGTAAAACGTTGACGGGACATTGTGCGGGGAGATAGACTATTTCAGTTGTATGGAAAGAGTCCCAGCACAGCGGAGGCTCTATGTATGTGAACATGAGCCGCTCCCTTCCATTATGAATGGCATATACCAACAGACGATGAGAACAGTGTGGTTACCATGGGACAAGTGAAAACACAGAACCCATCATCACTTCGTCAGCTTCAGGAGCATACCTGTAATGAGCACTATTACTGACGATCAGGATAGGCTGCCATCAGGGCTATTTCGGCAAGCATCTGCCGGGAAACAAGCCATGATGACTTAATTAGGAAATCATCTCCCACTCGATCAGAACCAATTACATAATCATTAATGTGCCCGGTCGTAACGCTCAGGTTGGCTCTGTGCATTTTTTGCTGCTAGTGCCCGAAATGAGCCCAATTGTGCTCTTTAAGGATGACCTGCTGAACACGGGTGAAACATGCCGAAAACATTCGCACTTCCAATTTAAGTGGTTGTAGTGACTAACCCGGCGTACAGAGTGTCTGCATAGCGTAGCGGGTGGCGAACATTTCCTCCCGAGTAGAAGCGGATGTGATGCCATTGACCAGTGCCGGGATTACCGTGGTGCAGCGACTCGTGTCGATGTAAGTGCGACGTTCAGCAGAAATTCTGTGAGGCGTGAGCTTGCTTGCCGCGTTAGCTGCTGCTCATAAATTACTACGTCGGATTGGTTGTGCCGCCGTATTTTGGAGGTTGCTGAAGGTATCTGAGGTATCTGAAGGTTGCTGCAGCTTTGGGCGGGATCTAGATCGCCGGCTGCGGGTCACGACGCCAGAGCGGATGTGGACGAGGCCAAGCTCCGTCCGGACGAGGCCGCGACGAGGCCGGACGAGGCCTCCGGACGACGAGGCCGCGCGAGTACGCCTCGCTGCAAACGGGGCGGACGTCCATGGGTGGCGCGCTGCAGGCACGGAGGCGAGGCGGGTGGCAGTCAGAGACCCGGCAGCGCCGCCGGTGCGGGTCAGAGGTCAGACCAACCCCATGTTGAGAACGACGAACGCGACCGCGGATGTCTGCACTAAAAGAATCACGGACGTTACACATCCGCTGCAGGTCACTAGGGTCAGTACGGAGCCTTACGTTCTCCCGGCGGTTACGGCCGAGAGTTCTAATCAAAGAGGTGGCGTGACCCACTGGACGCCGGCCAGGAGGCCAACAAAGGGGCGCGAAGACCGAGGGGTGGCCCTTGCACAGCTGCTTCCCGAAAGACTGATCCCTCCCCGACTCCCCGCCGCCCCCAACGCCACCCCAAGCCGCATATGGGCACGTGCGCCCTCTCATGACACCGGCCCGCCCGGCTGACCAGCGCGGCCTGACCAGATAGCCAACAAAAAAACACATTATCGGCCCGGTGCGCACCTGGCGCGCGCAGCCAATCGCGGCGCAGGCCAACCCTTCTGCCTCGGCCGCGAGGTCAGATTCGAAGACGCGGCGGCGGCGGCGCGCGCGCGCCCGGCGCAGCACCTGCTCTGACGTCACAACACGTGCTCGGCGGCCAGCTGTCGCACGGCAGCTGCTGACCGGGAGGAGGGGGGGGGGGGGGGGGTGCAGGTGGGGCGGGGAGACGCCGCCGCCGCCGCTGCCGCGGTCTCCCGCCCCAGTCGTGCGCTGGCGGCGGCGGCGGAGCGGTGACCGTAGCGGGCGCTCGGGATCACGGAGTGCGAGGGGTGCGGGAGTCGGCCTGGACCTGCTGCTGCTGTCGGGTCGGCTGCTGGACCTGTTCCGACGTCTCAGTGCTGACGACCGCGCAAGGTGAGTCCGCTGTCTTACGATGACCTCATGGCGTTGGAATCTTTTAACGAGCATTTGGTTGATATTGTCTTGTCTTGTTCGCTACTCTGCTCTGGCTCAGTCCGAGTCTGCTATTCATCACTGTGCATGCATGCTTTTGACCCACGATTTGCGGGGTTTTGTCCTTTTGGGCTTAAGCTGTCAGTAAATATGTCTGATGACCGTCTATGAAACGCTCGTCGACCAACTGTCAAGCATGAACAGGCGAGCCAGTGCCTCTCCACAATCCACAACCCAGGGGATCGTCTGCTTAACCCGGGCCATATTTTCAGTAAGGCCCTCCCTTCCCACCAGATCTCCCACCAGGTCAGCAGATCATGGCCTTGGGTCGTCCAGCAGGCAGACTGGGTGCTGTACGCGTGACACACATAAGTACTTAGCTTATCGCTGTCTTTATTGGCCGGTCAGATTATTTGATACCGACATGTTCTGAGCCTAATAAAATATTTCAAATGAGCGCTTGGTTTCGAGAAGCGTGAGAAGAACCACCGGCGAATTCATGGGCACCGGATATTCCATATAGCTCATGAAACCGATTGCATCGCTCACATAGCCTATATCGCCTTCAGGAGAGCAGATAACAGGGCTAGTTGAGGCGTTTTTGATGACCGCTCACACGAACTCATGGCCGCTGGCCAACGGCCATTGCCTGTAGCGCGCCATTAAGTTAGCCCTGACAGCCAGACACAGAACCCGTTTTTATACGTTCATTCAACGCTAATCCTCCGGGGGTGGCCAATCGCATTACCAGGGAGCCTGCCGGACGCGGGACCGACACGCACGAGCGAGTTCCTTCTGCGACGCTCTGTTGAATGGGGGACCTGCAATGTCTCCATCACGGGTTTTTGGTGCCTGCTTATCGTTCATTTGTGTAACAGGGACGGTTTGTGTTCTCATTTCGCTAGAAGCGTAGGGATCTGAGATATGCGGCTTATGCAGCGGTGTAATGTGTCGAGGGTATTGTGGCCAGCAGTGATACGTGTTGTGACCAGCCGTGAGACGTGTTGTGACTGTTGCTGATGCATGTTGTGCTTGACATGGTAGGCAGTTGTGCTGGCTGTGGTTAGTGGCATCAGATTTTGCCCACCTGAATTCCATTGTGCTACGTTCCATAGTGGATTGTTGCAATGTCAGCTGTTGTGTGAGAGCTGGGGTAAACTGCGAGGAGCCAGGCAGCGCCAGGTTGCACGATGTGGTCCGCTGCGTTGTCAACAATGATGCTGCCTGTGCTCTACCAGCCACGAGGAAAGCTAGGCATGCCTTGGATGCCACTGACTAGGCAAGTAGACGTCCATAGGCATGATCGGCAGTCTTGTCTTCGCCGCAAAGATGGATTTACTCAGTCACGGATGCTAAGGTCTGGAGGCCTCGGCGTCTGCTCTTATTAATGAAAAGTGACGGAATTTGACGGATGAATGTGCACTCCTCTCGGTTAACAAGGTTCTTCATAGCTGCTATTAGATAGATTACATACCAATAACTGCTATTACATACCGAGAGAGAGAGATATATATATATATATATATATATATATATATATATATATATATATATATATATATATATATATAAATATAGTTAATATCAGTAATGTATAATTAATATATAAAATTACTCACCAATATATATATATATATATATATATACATATATATATATATATATATATATATATAAACATACCAATCAGCTGCTATTAGATAGATAGCCAAATGTGGCATGGCTAATGAGGAGGCAGCGTAACAACTCCGAGATGGCATTCAGATGGTATTCAGATGTAGGACGGCATTCCGAACTTGGCTGCTGAAATGGCCTGGTCACTCGGAGTACAAATCACAGGCGGCGATATTTTGCTCTCCACCGCGGTGTGTTTCCCAACTGATCGGCACCTCCGCAAACTTCAGAGAATGCGAAGCCGGCAAACATGTTGGGTGAAAGCATTTACCCCATGCATGCTTTTCACGATGCATGCATTTCACCATGCATGCATGACGCATGCAGCTATCAGATGCATCTATCATGCGGCTTCTATTAGATAGATGAAAACTAGCCGCCATACCAAACGCCGGTGGCAATTCCCACCAGAGAGTGGCCCCGTCGTGCTCTCATGCCATCGTCCCCACCTGCCTCGGCGCCGTTCTGGCTGAGATTTGGCGCGCCGGCGCCTTCACGAGCGGCCGCTCAGGAATGTCACGGGCTCGGAGCGGCGCTCAGGCTTGAAATGGCGCGGCCATTCCGCGCGCAACGCCCGCCGGCGGGCAGGGGAGCCGGGCGGGAGAGCGGCGGTGGACCAAGGTCCCGGTCCCGCGGTCCCGTGGCGCGCCGCCCCCTGCCCTGTGAGAAGGGAGCCGGGCAAAGGAGCAGGGCAGGGGATCCCATCAGGGAAGCGGGATAGGGGACCGATCAGGGACACCTGGCACGAGAGCCGCGCAGGTAGCCGAAGAGGGAACCGGACAGGAAGCGGCGCAAGGGAAATAGGCGTGAGAGCCCGGCAGGGGAGCCGGACAGGGGAGCAGGGTTTGGGAGCAGGGCAGGGAAATGGGCGGGAGGACCAGGCAGGGAGATGGGCGAGAGAGACAGGTAGGATAGCCAGCCACGTATGGAGCCAACACAGCTGTGGTGACGGTAAAAGTATGTGATTCGACGGCATTTTTGCATGTTGTTTTTCTGCTGCTGCGCTGGTGTTTGATGTTCACGGATTCTTTAGCTTCATGGCGTTCAGCGCTGTGGGCTTTCGATTACAGGATGCTCAGTGGAAAACAGACTGCAATATGTCGTACACCTGCCACCGATCTGCTTGAATGATAAGGTGCAGCCATTATTTTCCCTCGTGTCACCTGTCCGGCTAACAGCTCGTCCATGATTACCCCGCCGACAACGCCGTGGTGTGAGCACGGACCCAGGCCGTGACCGTCTGCTCTCGAGCCCCCGGCTGTGGAATGCGGCCGCCAGCAGCGCCCGAGTCGGCCCCGGGCGAGCCGCGTCTGATTGACCGGCGTGCCTGGACACGCCACTGCGCCCTGCGGCGGCCCCAGTTCAGGCGTCTCGCCCCGCCCCTGCGCCGGCGGCCGGCGGAGGGGATGGGCAGACATGAAGCGCGTGCCCTCCGGCACAGTCTAGCCGCCAGATCGGCACCGGCGCGGGCCCCGCCGCCCGCCACCTGCTGTGAGGATGGCTCGCGGGCGCGCTGTGTCTGGACGATATCTGTGCGCTCATGGGGGTTTTCAAACAGCTTTTCATTCCAAAAAGAGCGCAAACTGCCTGCCTGGGGATGACAACACTTCCGGTCATTTCGGAATAGGTGAAAACGAGGAAAGAACGTGAACGCGCTAGATCCCGCATGATTTTATGCCCGATGTTCTCCAGTTTATAACTAGCTCCACGTCAAAGTAGCAAATAAACATGAGTACAAAATCATGGCATGAAAAGGGGCGTAAATTGAAATGCCGCTTTCAAGCTTCAACGTAAGAACCTGCGCTGAGTGGGCGATTAGCTCCTATCTGGGCTTTAATGACCCGATCTGCAGTAATCACCTGCGTAGCTGAGCGATAAAAGACGAAACCCCGCGTTCTCTTCATCGCGAGCGTCCACCTGCCGCCGTCGTTCTCTTCGTATTACAAACCTTTATCGCGCTCTCATCACCGTGCGTGCTCAAAAGAGCAGCTCCTCCGCCCCGACACCCCGAGCCGTTAGCCCGTCGTCGGGACAAAGCCCCCCCCCCCCTCCCGGCCGTCTCCCGTGGACGGTCCCTAAACGGGCGGCAGCTGCGGCGAGAATGGAGGATTTCTCTGGTGAGGTATACGGAGAGCAGAACCGGTCCGGCCGGGGCAGCCGGGCGGCGCGGCGCTCACCGGCGGGCGGCCGACGCGCGCCCGGCTGTCGTCCCAGCCGACCGTAATTAGCTCGCGCTAATGACTGATGAGGCGTCTGGACCTGCCGGCCGCGCGTGCCGGTTGTGTTTTTGACGGCCTGCAACTGCCGGAATGGTTTGCATCGACCTTGTCGGTGTGAATGTGCAGGCTTTGCCTGTGTATTTGTCTTTCCTTCAGGCTTCAAGGAATGTTTTTATCAAGCCTGAAGGCTATTCGTGTTATCGTAATTTTTCATTCACCATAACGAAACATAAACAAACCGTAAGCTTGTAGCTTCGCGTTGCAAGCATCACTTGTGCTCTGTAACGCAACTTTGTCGTTTAACACGTTAACAGTTATTCTGTCGTATGTTAAGCAGCTTTGAAGCTTCCTGGGGCTCCAAACCTTCGAAATGAGGGGCTCCGACGCTGAGATGCTCCTAAGCCGTGTCTTAAGCCTCCCATATTAAGCCAGATGCGCACGGAGCGGTGCCTTTAACCTGAAGGACCGCTGCGCACGCCACATCCTCATCCCCATCTGGATCCTCCACTCACGGCGCGCCCCGCCCGTCACGCGGCGCTCGCCACACGGCGTCACGCACGCACCCCGGCGTCACGAAGGCGGCTACTCATGGCGCCGCGTCCCGGCCAGTTTGGCAAGCGTGCCGCAGCGTCTGACGCCCTCCCGGACTCGAGAGCGGGCTCTCGGCGTCGACGTTGCTGGGTGGCCTGCTGCGCACGACGGCGTGTCGAGCACTGCTGTAGGGGGGGGGGGGAGCTACTAAGCCGGCACAGGCCACCACGCCTCCTGACGTGAGCATTTGGTCAACCCCTGAACTCCCTGGTGTCTTCGCCAGCTGGTCGCGAAGAGGATTAGACCCCCCCCCCCCCACACCCTCCGCATGCACTTTGCTGGGCGCGCGCCTGCCGGCACGAGCCGCTCAAACCAGCACACACCGCCGGCGGCGCGTCCCAAGCCGCCCCCCTCCTGGCTGCCGCCTGGGCGCGACCTTGGCGAACCCCTCCCTTCCTCCCATGACGGACTGTTCTAATTACGCCGCTAATCGCCTCCGCGGCAAATTGGCCGGCCGCGACGTGCAGCCCCTTTCCGGTGCACGGCACTTGTTGCGCGCCGAAAAAAGCGCGCCAAGGTCCAGTCAGCCGCCGGCTCTGTGGAAGGGCCCGGCGGCGGCGGCGGCGGCGGCGCGCGCTGAGGCAGACGCGCCTCCAGGGCCCCACAACCGGGGCTAATCCCGGCTGGAAGCTCAAAACCGACGAGAACAAAGCGATGACAACGCAGAGGCGCAGCGTTGGCAGGAGGGGGTGCGCCGCCGGCGGGCGGACGGCGAGAGCGCCCCTGCTCAGAGGGGCGCTGTTTGGCCGCATTCCTGAGCGGCATGTGCGGCGGCGGCGGCCCGACCGGTCCGGCGCAGCTGCCGTCGCGGCCCGGCCATCTGATGCGGGCTGGGGCGCCACCAGATTGGAGCGCGACGGCCACACCTGCCGGGGTGGGGACCGGAGGGACCGGGCTGTCTGGGCTGAGGACCGGACGGACCAGGGTATCTGGGCTGAGGACCGAGCGGACCGGGGTGTCTGGACTGAGGACCGGAGAGACCGAGGAACTGGGGCAACACCTGAACGAGCTAAAATAGAAGAGAACGTGAATGGCCCATGCTTGCTTCAACTCGCCTGGGAATGAGTTGCGAAAATACCTCAGGTGCGTCGTCTGAACGAGGTGCCTGAGCTGCTGTGTCTTCCGCCTTGTCTCCGATGACACCTGATTGCCACCGGATTCCCCAGTCCTGCTGCGGTGCACTGTGAGTCGCGGTGCAGTCGCCGATTATGCAAGACCGCCGTCCAGTTGCTGAGTAGTAAAACGCCATGGCCAGCGTCAGAGGCGGACCAAGCGATCGTGGCGCGTGGGCCGGTGCGGCCGGGCGAGTTTCACGGAGCCGGAGGAGAGCCGCGTTCTGAACGCGCGACGTGATTGGTGACGAGCGGCGGGGCTGGGATGACCTCTACCGCTTGACGCGTCACCAGGAGCCCGTGTTTGACGAACGACCGCTCGGGCTGTAAAGGCCTCCAGAGATTACGCCGGCGGTGGCCGCCAGGGGGGCGTTGTCTCCGCGTGCTCCAGGGGGGAGGGAGGGGGGAGGATGACACGTGCTGCAGATCGGTACCGGTCCGGCCACCGCCGCCGAGCGGCCCTGACGCACCGTTTGGTCCAGCAAAACGAATATTTTAGTCCCTGCCATTGATCCAACAATTGGCTGCGCTAGGGTTGCCATCAGTCAGATCTGTGGTGTTATCCGCCATCTTCAGCGAATTCTTAACAAAGCTACAAATGACCTGTACACGCTGTTGAGTTTAGGGCTTGTCATGCATTTTTCACGCGAGGCTTGATATCACTTCGACGTTTTGGAAAGACCATGTGGTGACTTCAGTGACGTCCACCATGGTCGCAAATGAAGCATTCGTTGTGTAACACTTTTAGCACCTTATGCTTTAAACCTTTTTGCGGTTTGACGCCAACGTGTCATTGGACCAAACTGTGCAACACTGGCATGCACGTGCCGTGTGCATGGTCACAGCCGCCGCTGATGCCATGTGAGGGGTAAGGTAGGGGGACAAGCGCATGTGCGAAGAAGAAGGTCGCTGAGAAGAGCTTCTGGTTCTGGTGGTTGCCTTCAGCTGCAATTCTGGAAAATTTTTGCTGATGACGTTCCTTTGTTTCTGAAGCCCCTTCCTTTTTCTTCGGGCCGTGGCATGGGTCAGTTAAGTATTCATATTTAATTGATGTTGTCTCCGCTTTCGAATATGTTGCTTCTAGAAACATTACTATTATATTAAATAATAATATATTATTATCTAGTATGATATGTTATATAATACTATATATAATATGGCATATTTTTAATATATCATGTATAAGACAATGGTATTAATATTCTATAATATTCGAGCCTTCCTATTTGTCGACGCATTTCGAATGTACCCTGTCCCTAGAATTACATCATGATGAAGTTGACTTAGTAAATATCTGCGCTGCGGTTACAGGGGTGCACGCAAGATTTCACAGTCGTGCGGAAATGGGCAGAACTAAAAACTCCGCTGAAAACTGAATTTAGCGCGACCGCGGTGCTCGAAGATTGCTGCATACTGTTAGCAGCACCGCATGGTCCCGACCTCCTTATTTTCACGTGTCCACCAGGAATTCTTGACCATCAAAATTTAGTCGCGTAAATATGGTCACATGCTTTCGGTTTGGTAAGTTGGGTGGGGGCATGTGCCCCGTGGTTATGTCCGCGCGGCCCGTCGGTTATGGTATCGTTGTATTATATTTCCGCCTAGGTCAGCAGAGGCTTGATGGCCAGGTCACTGCAATAAGCACCTGTATATCTGCCTCGAACTCCAGTCATTACTGATGTCCCAATTTTGTCCTACGTTACATGTCCTATCATGCACCACACACTCCTTGGAGTGTTCGCTTCATTCCAAATGTAGGCATTTCTGCTTCTGATTCCAGCGATATTTGGTTTGGCGTTGGGCATGCCGTGCGGGTGATAATTTCTCTCCTTGGCAAGTGACCTCGTTCTTAGACTTCAAACCTGCCTTTTCAGAAGAAGCCCAAGCCTCGTAACTCTGTCCTTGTTTGGCATCGCACTGAACCTGCCACTCCCTTTGTGTTGTGCTGACTCTGGCGCCCTGAGAGATCCACATGTTTATGGCATTTCAGCGAAAAGGAAAATGTGATTGTGTCGAGAGTAACAATGACAGGATTACGGGGTCGGTGTCAAGACCTGTGACCTTTCCTTCACAAACTTGTGACTACAAGCGGTCATTGACGTCTCTGATGATGTTGCTAGCGCTGAGTGCGTTGCACCACGAGCCTCTTTGAAAGCAGTCACGTCTAACGCATACGGTACAAAGAATACGCTTTTTAGGTACGATATCACGCTCGATTGCGGACGGACCCAGCGCTTGTAGGACCGCACAGTTGTACCAAATTGGCGGCAGGCTGCTAAGCCGTAACTGCGTCGTTTGTTGCCATTTCGCGGTGCATGTGTACCAGGACAGCAACGGTCCAATTAAAGCGAAACACAATAACCAAGGTCGCAAGGGTCACTTGCAGCGGGCGTGTCGTGTGCTCCATGAGAAACGGAGAGCCCTTTGTGCGGCCGTCCCGTGCATCCTCGCTGTCACCCCTCGCCGCCGAGGCAGCGGACAGCCCAGCGTGCACCGCTGCAAGGCTGGCGCTCGTTAAACCTCTGCCGCTTCGCACCACTCACCTTCCGCCCGTCAGCCCCGTCTGTTCTAAATCAAGCGGCGGCGTCTGTGGCGCGCCGCCGCCGGACCGGGCCCAGCTGCGCCGCTCGTCGTCGCTGCAACGCCGTAACGAGCTGTCGCGTCTGCGCCGCATCCGCCGCCGCGACCACACGCCGCTCATTAACGGCGGCGCCTCACGCTGAGGCTTGTCCCCGCCTCCCCCGGGAGGGGGCGCGTCAGCCGAGCCGCCCCTCCCCTCCCCTCGCCCGTGGAGGCATCCCCCTCCCCCCACCTGAGCTGGTGCTGATGTGTGACGCGCGTGTTTCGTCTCTGTTGCAGGTCCCGATAAAAAGCGCGCCGCTGATCGTCCGTCCTCGCCGTCGTCATGGTGAGTAGTAGCACACGCGGCCGCCAGGAGCGCTGGGTGCGTGTTTTTGTGGGGAGGTGCGGGAGGTGATGGGTCGGCCGTTTTAGCAGGGCAGATGGGTGAACACCGGATGGGGCGCGTTTGTCGTCAGCTGCGCTGCTAATGCGTCCGGGCGACGGCCGCCATGTGTCACGGAGAGTTTTTACCGCCAGGGGGGCGACGGGGAAGATGTTTAAACGGTCTACTACCCGAGACCGCAGTGTCCCACCTGTTCATCGTGTTCGGGAAACAAGGACTGAGCCACACGCCAACCACCTTGTGACTGACTTCGAGAGGGGTCGGGACTGGCTCCGAGGTTAACCAATTTTCTTTCCAGTTAGGATTCGATGATGAGCAGTTAGTGCACGGGCGATGCGGATGTCCAAATTTGTTGAAAAGCGACGCGTTGACGTGTTGACAAAGACGCGCTGTGTCATGCTGCGGTGCTGAATTCAATGCAGGAGTGCACCACACTCACACGTTACATCGACCACAACCGCACCACTAACACGGTCGTTTCTCTCGTTCGCCCAGAGTCAGCCTCTTCCCGTCATAAATCATTCAAGGCAAAATGGTGTGCAATTTTCATGATGGCCTTGTGCTGATTGCGCTTGTGGCAACATTTTTAGCAGCCCACCAAAGCCTAACATGCACAGTGGACACGGTGAGTGACCACATGGCTTTATTAGCAAAGGCTGCCCCCCTCCCCCCTCCCTCCCCATGCACGGCCGCCTGCCTCATATCAAGCGCGCGGCCACTCTAGCCGCAATCTGCATTGCAAGTAGCAATGGTGTTTCTACCTGAGGACGACGTATGAAGTGAGCCAGACGGCGGGCCGGGGAGAATCTGCCACCCTGGGGGGTCGGGGAGGGTCTGCCGTCGCTCCGGCGGGCGGGGAGGGTCTGCCGCCGCTCCGGCGGGCGGGGAGGGTCTGCCGCCGCTCCGGCGGGCGGGGAGGATCTGCCACCGCTCCGGCGGGCGGGGAGGGTCTGCCGCCGCTCCGGCGGGGGGGAGGGTCTGCCGCCGCTCCGGCGGGCGGGGAGGGTCTGCCGCCGCTCCGGCGGGCGGGGAGGGTCTGCCGCCGCTCCGGCAGGCCGGGGAGGGTCTGCCACCGCTCCGGTGGTCCGGGAAGGGTCTGCCGCCGCTCCGGCAGGCCGGGGAGGGTCTGCCGCCGCTCCAGCGGGCAGGGGAGGGTCTTCCGCCGCTCCGGTGGTCCGGGGAGGGTCTGCCGCCGCTCCGACAGGCCGGGGAGGGTCTGCCGCCGCTCCGGCAGGCCGGGGAGGGTCTGCCGCCGCTCCGGCAGGCCGGGGAGGTCTGCCACCGCTCCGGTAGTCCGGGAAGGGTCTGCCGCCGCTCCGGCAGGCCGGGGAGGGTCTGCCGCCGCTCCAGCGGGCAGGGGAGGGTCTGCCACCGCTCAGGTGGTCTGGGAGGGGTCTGCCGCCAGTCCGGCAGGCCGGGGAGTGTCTGCCGCCGCTCCGGCGGCCAAAGAGGGCCTGCCACCGCTCCGCCGGCTGCGGCCGTCTGACAATCGCCAGAACATCCCGGGCGACGGTTCGGCTCCTCCGCTGTCCCCTGACGGGTAGCCCCGCCAACTGCAGGCCGGGCGCGGCTGCAGGCGCCGGTCGGGCGGCGCACGAGGGTCACGCCCGCATGAGCCGCCGGAGCGGCCGGCCTGCCACTCCGAGCTGCAGCTTCCCCGGAGGCAGGTGCTCAGTGCAGCGGCGCGTGTCAGCTGGAACCTCGGGTGATTGGCAGTATCTGGAATCGTGTCGCCCAGACACGACGGACGGCGCGGATCGCGCCGGGCACGTGGGCTGAAAAGGGCATCGGTGACTTGGAGATGACCCTCCCCCATTCCGAACTGTGTCGCGGGGTCAAATGTCTGCAACAGACACGGCCAAGCGACGGGTGGGTCTGTCACCTCTGCTGAGGCAACTGCTCGGTCACCTGTCATTCCGTGCGCGTTATTTGTATTTCGGAATAACTATCGCAGTGTTGTTTTGCTTGGTTGAGCTTTGCTGTCTAAAGCCATTCGTACCCGGTGATAGATGACCAAAGCATGCGCAATACATTGCCGCCAGCAGTACGTAATTGGAGGTGACAGAGAGCTCAGTTGTTCGCAAGAGCCGATCTCACGCTTGGTTTGCGGCGCGACAGATCGCTAGTGTCTGCAGCCAATCGGGCAGTTCTATGTTGCGCTGCAGCCAATCACGCGGCATCAGCTGTCGCGCTATCAGCTGGCGGCGAGGTCGGTCGGCTGACCCCGGCCTCGAGCCATCTACGGCGCAAACACGCGCGGCGGCACCGCTGCCGCAGATGCCGCCCCAGTCGGAAGGCGCGCGCCCTGATCGCAGACGAGCAGGTGGTCCTGCCTCCCCTCCCCCTCTCCCTGCCGTCAGATTGTGTGCCGCGGATTATTCGCGCCAGGTGCCTGCCGAGACGGGGGGGGGGGGGGGGCGTAAACACGGGCCTGCGCGCCGGACCTCCGGCTGCCGCTGCGGCGGAGCGGCGCCCGTGGCGGCCCTGTTTTTGTCGTTGGTCTGGTTAGTCGTCAGCTGCCGCCGCCTGGCTAAGTGGTTTGTCTTTGTGAGTGCATCCGACGCGCAGCGGCGTCATAACAAGGCCGGTGGAGCCGACGTTGTTCTAATCGCCCCCCCCCCCCCCCCCTCCCCCAGTTTGATGTTATCTGCTAGATGCCATCCGTTTCCGTTTCGGAGCAGCGGCTGAGTTCATTCGTATGCTACGCCCTTGTTTTCCCCAGGTAGGAACAAGTCAGCACTGGAAAGTGGTGTCACGCCACACGCCTGAAACGCATTTTGCGAATCACCCGCCTGCGGCCGTATTTATGTGGTTCCGAAATATTTTACGTCTTTGCCAAATGCCCATCTCCCGCAGCACTCATGCCTACGAATATATATATATATATATATATATATATATATATATATATATATATATTGAAAACGTATTCTTGTGCGGAAGTTGGCGTTCGAACTGCTCACATACACACGATTGCATAGATCGTACACTAGGATCTACTTCACACGGTGATCTACTCATCGCGAACTACTACACACTACGACTAACCTCGTCGGCATCAACCCGACCTTGCTCGAGGGTGGGGTCGTCCGTGCCACTTGTGCCGGTCGAACAATACCAAACAGTGGCGCCGTCCTGCAGACCCGGTCGCTGTGCCGCACAGCTGCCGTCGCCCGTAACACGCTCACGAGCCGTCACGTGACGTCACGAGTCAGTCACGACCATGCGTCAGGTCACCTGTAGTCACGCGCCTGAACGCTTGTGGCGAGCTGGCGAGGTGATAACGCACTTGACATCTCCATTGGAAATGTGTGTGTGTGTGTGTGTGTGTGTGCCATTTTTTAAACGAAGTCATGTAGTCATGTTGTCACTGGGGTCATCACCAGATTGCCACAATTTTTCGTCACGTCACGTCATGTCACGTCACGGTCACGTCCTGTGATGTGTGCGCTTTGACGGTGAGGGCGTGGGCGGTCTTTAGCACCTGTGCCTTCGTTCGGGAGAAGACGATGACATTACATTTGGAAACGTGCCGCAAGCCTACCACTGTCATTACCATGATAGTTGTGGACAGTGCAGTTGTCCTTGTCCTATGCTGACTTCGTTCGGCCATCCACTTTTTCTGTGCTTTGGTGCACGGGTGGAACGTGCTTGGGAGTGTCAGCGCAGCAAAGCTTTCGACACGAGCATGGCATGACGGTAAAGTGTCAAAAGTGACTCAGTTTCAATGCGAGTTGGTGAGACCGCCGCCACCTTTGACACATCGAATCCTTCACCGGTGTTTGTCTGCGCGCAGTCCGCGCGTGCACCGAATCCAGCGGCGGCTCCGCCGTCCGTCCTGATCGTCGCGTCGCTAACCGACTCTCCTCGTCTTCGACAGGACGAGAAGCGGCTGCAGGCGGCCGGTCCGGAGCGGCCGCTGCCGGCGGCGCGGGCCGCGCGCTGGCGGCGGCCGCGCGCCAACGCGCTCTGGTCCTGCTGGTACGGCGTGCTGACGTGCGCGCTACATGCCGGCCTGGCGTACCGCGCGCTGCTGGCGTACCGCGCCTACCTGCGCCTGCCGTGGCAGACCACGCCCGCCGAGCTGGCGGTCTACCTCGGCCTCGTGGCCGTGTCACTCGCGCTCGCGCCGTTCTTCCTCGTCGCCAGCTGCCTGCGCGTCGGCAACCGCGCCAACGACGGCGCGCGCTTCGGTTCGCCGCGCGTCCGCGGCGCGGCGCTGCCATCGCCGCGGCCCGGCGCGCTGCGGAACATGTGGCGCCACGGGCCGCCGACGGCGCCGCTGCTGCACGTGCTGATGGCGGCGCTGCTGTGCGTCGCTGAGCTGGTGATGGAGGCCAGGCTCATTGGCAACGGTTTCCTGCCGCCAGGTGAGAAGCCGATGAGTGAGCGGGTGAGATGGCGTCGCGGCGCTGACCGGGTCGTGTGAGTCGAGCCAGGAGAGATGTCGGGTTAGGCCTTTGTGATCCCAGGTAGATGACCATGAAGTGCATGGACGTTCTCAGAGAAGGGCAGGTGTGCGGTCCACGCTGTGCTTTCGGCGACGTCACGAAGGGGAGATGGTATCTTGACAGGATAGACCTGAGTAGTAAAGAATGTTTATTGGCATCAAGGTAAGAACGCGCCTGGATGCGAACCCCATACTATGCCGTTTGGAGCCGTCTTCTTCGGCGCCCTGCCTCTTGTACTCCCCATTTCCACACCCGTTTTGCCCAATGTAATATCTTTTTCGCTAAGTGGGGGTAGGACATGATAATGTACGTTGTGACTGTGACATCCAAGGGACGGGGTGGAAAGATTGGGTGTTTGTGCCGTGCAGTGCTCACATTCAGTAATTTACCCATGCATATACAAGCACACCCCTGAAACAAATATGTTCGCACTTACTCCCAGAAACTCTTATTTATGCCGTGGACAACATATTCAGGGTGTCAAGCAAAATGTTCCCTGACGCGCCTTCAAAACCAAATACAACCACGCCACTAGCAACACAGTTATTACCGCGTGCCCCCCCCCCTCCCCTCCCCCACGGTGAGATACCCAGCTCCGACTGACAGTCCCGCCGCCTTCCAGACCTGGTGTGGCGCACCGAGCTGGACGCCTTCCTCGACCTCACCACGCGCGTGCTGCCGCTCAAGTTCAGCTCCCCGGCGCAGAACGTGACGGTGGTGGCGACGGCACCGCCGCCGGCGCTCGTGCTGGACCCCGTCAGCGGCTACCTGCGCCGACAGGCGCCGCTGCCGGTCGGCCCCGAGTTCCTCCACCTGGCCGCCGCCCTGCTGGTGCTGTCGGTGCGGTACGCGGCCGTCTTCTGGGACTGCCAGCGCGTGCTGGCGGCCGCCTTCTCGGCGCAGCTGCTGCTGAACGGCGCGCACTTGCTGCTCTCGTTCTGCGGCTTCTCGGTGCTGTACAAGATCCACGTGTACGGTGGTGCTGCGCTGCTGAGGCTGCCCGACCCGTTCCTGCTGAACGCGCCGCTCACAGCGCTCCTCTACGGCATCGCGAGCTTGCTGGTGCTGCTCTCCGGGACCACCGTCTTCCTGTACGGCTTCCAGAAGCTGGCCGCCTTCGTGGCCACGCACCGCCGGCAGCTGCCGGAGATGGCCGAGGCGCGCTGCCGCCTTTGGGGCTACTTCGCCCACAGCGCGGCGCTCTGCCTGCTCCTTGCCGTCGGCGTGGCAGACGGCCCGCTGCTCTACGACCTGAGTGCCGTCTACCGCGGCAGCCTGGATCCGGCCAGCTTGGCGGCCGTCATCGGCGCCATCGTGCACCATTTCCTCTGGGTGGTGCTGTGGCTGGTGCTGACGCTGCGCAGCCGGTGGCAGTTCCGCCTGCGCGTCGTCGCCGGCACGGTGGCCGTGCCGGACGCGCCGCACCTGCAGCTCGTGCACCGGGTGGAGCTGGGCCGCCGCACCGGCGCCGCCGCGCCGCTGCTCGTCGTCGCCGACAGCGGCGCCTTCGTCGTCGGCGACACGATGGCGCAGAACCTGATCCTGGGCGTGGCCACGCGCCGCTGCGGGCCGGCCAAGCCAGTGCAGATGGCGCCACTGCGGCAGGCGGCGCTGCCGCCGCGCCGCGCCGCCCGCCAGGAGGAGCAGGAGGACGAGGAGGAGCGTTACGTGCAGCTGCCACGCGGCTCCCAGCAGCGGCGGTCACGTGTCACCTTCGAACGTGACGGATCCGGCAGGAGGTAAGCCACGGACTCATAGGCGCCCAGACAGCAGTGTCATCACATAGGGGTCTCCTCGTGATTGGTGCGTATCCCGAATCTATTGCAACGGGCTTGTGGCTAAGGACACCATTTTTATAGTTTGACTTTGTTTAGTTTAGAAGAACCTGCTCTTTGCCTTTGGCAGAGCACGAATGCGTCATTTTATCGTGTGTATTTTTACAAAGAGGTATGCAATACTTAGCCTAGTCATGGCAGCGTTTTGCAGTTCGCTAAACAAACTGCCACGTTGTGTCCCCATTCCAACTCTTACAAACACACCTGATGACTATCGCAGCGTGTTAAGATGCCTATCAGCAGGTGTAACCGCCGTCTGTCATCCTCAGGTGCGGTGGTTACCAGCCAGTGCCCACGGACGAGGTGCGGGAGTCAGCCCCGTACGGACAGGCGGGCGCCGAGGAGGGCGACTACGTCTGCCTCTACAAGAGCCAGCAGCAGGTGTGTGTCAGGGGAGGAGTCATGCCAACAGGCCAAGGCGTGAGGAGGTGTTGATCCATACCGTGTCAGCAGCGAATTGAAAAAATATCGCTGTACCTGCGGTGTGGGCTTATGAAGAAATCGTTCTGGGATGTAGCCAAGGAGAGGACCACAGCGACCATCCTCCCCCCTCTCCCACACTGAGCAAAGGGCTTACACTAGATACTGGACGAGTGCACGGAAATGCAGTCTAACTTCACAGAAGCTAGGAGACAATTCGATATTTGTGCCACCACCCTCATACTTCGAGGCTAGGGGCCTGGAACCAACCTGTTGACGTTGCCAACCTGTGCTCCAGCTTGACGCGTCGTCTCCGTTGCGTTTGGCAGATTCGTCGTGCGGCCGGGTGCGAGGTGCACCAAGCGGCACGACAGCCGCTGCTTCCCGCCCGCTACGCAATCCGTCCCCCTCCGGAGAGCGTCTACATGACCCGCAACGAGGTCCGGCCGCCGGCCGTGCGGCGCGCCAACAGCTTCGAGGCGCTCCCGCGCGCCTCTGGCGGCCCGCAGCGCAGCTTCTCCTTTCGCGGGCCACCGGCAGGTGGCAGGCGGATCGCCAACACCGAACCGAAGGTGGCGTTCGACCTGCGCACGACCGTGATTGGCGAGTCGCCGCGCTCGCCGCGCGCGCTCGTGCCGTCGCCGAACTCGGCGTTCTCGCCGCCCGAACCGAGCATCGCTGAGACGGCGCTTAATCACCTCCCGCCACCGCCGCCATCGCTGCTTCCGCCGCCTCCGTCGCCCATGAGGCTCTACGAGGAGGCCGACCGGCTGAGCGACATGCCGCGCATGCGCAGTCCGCGCTCGCTCGGCGTCATTAATCAGCTGAGCTCGACCGGGAACAAGCGGGACTCAGCGAACTTTTCAATGAGCGTGAGCAGTGGCAGTGACGCAGGGTCCACGTGATGAACACAGTGTTCCGTGATGAACACAGCTCCGTGTTCCGTATGAAACACGGTGTATAATCATATCCGTCGATGTGTGATTTTACGTTTATTCGTGGCGTTCACGTATGCTGAGCTGTGTGATGTTCAGTTGAGTCGTTGTATAGGAATGCTCCCTAGAGATTAGTGACAAACTGACTGGCATGGCTGCGTCGTGTCATTCCCTTACGATGCGGTAACTGCCGCTGGTCCAACCGCCCGCTCAGGCGTGCGTCACAACAGTGAGCGATCTAACGATTTTAACACTATTTATTTGAGTTATCGATGTAGTCCTGAGATTGTGTTACAAATTACTGGACGTTAAATGATGGCTAATGGATCGATAGCCATATGCCGAACTGGGTGTCCAAGCATATGTTGCCAAGGACCCCTAGCTAGCGATGGCGGATGAGAGGGCAAAAGAGAGTCTTGAGAAGCCGCGGAGAATCGTTCAAAGGCTAGTGAAAGTACAACGGCTGCCATCCGGAGGCTTCGTGCTACGTTGCGATGGTGTATCGTCAGAGCTGTCACTTAACGTCAGTTAAGTCTTCATCTGACTGAACACCCGCATGCCTGGGTGTGAGTGCCATGACCAGGAGTGTCGGGAGCGGGGGTACCGCGAGGTGATCTTCAGACCGCTTTCACCCATGGCTCAGGGTGCACCTGTGGGCTGACATTATCAGAGGCGTGCAACAAAATGACTGTATTTAGCTAATTGTTAATGAACGTACGTACATGATAATGCGATCGGTGCATACGAGGCATGGCATTGTACATACGGCGCCAAATATAGCTGGACCATCTACATGCAGTACATCTGCAGCATTCAGACGAAGATGTCACTATCATTTCATGGCTGGGGCGACAGCCCATGGTCAGGGAGCTCCAAGTGCTGGTCTCAGCGCCACGGCACAGTGGTGACACGGAACACGGAACACGGACACTGCAGCAATAGGATCGTCGCTGTCTGCAATACTGTCGTCGCTGTCGCAGGGAGTCTGCAATACTCCGAAGTATGTCCGCTCCAGATGCTCATCGACCGGCGAAACTTCTGTCCAAATTTGGGAAGTTCGGCTTGTGTCCGAACGTGTCCCTTGCGGGCGCGTGGCTTGAATGACATAGACAAGATCATAAATCGAGTCGGCCGTGAATAGAAGATGGCATCCCGGTTGTTGCGATCGAGGACGACTGAGTACGAGGTGGATGACGAAGGAGGGCGAGCGAGGACAGTCAGGTGCGACATTCACGCGATGGATGCAACCTCATGATAGTGTGCCTGACGGTGAGGGCGGAAAGCACTGCCCTCTGGAAGGTGCCTCCCTTTCTTTCCCTCCCCGAAGATACTTGTTAAGGCTAGTGCTTACAGAAGCAGACAATTATCCTTCCTGAGGGCGGAATAACTGGCATCTAAGTCACCTTTAGTTCTTATGCTTAGATGATGATCTAAAAAGCACTTGTATCATTTAAGTTATTCGTTGTGATGCGTTGGGCCTGAGCCTGTAACAACGCAATATGAAGCACCAATTATTAGGCTGGAGCTAACTCGCGTGTGTAATACAACGCAGGGCTTCAAACGCACGCACTGTGGGTCTGCGGCTCGGATGCTTACCTGTCACCCTGTGCGATACGCGTAAGGAGTCCGCACATTGCGAAGGCCACAAACGATGTATTCGCTAACCCCGTGGTTTGCTGTTTAAGCGTATGAGTTCCCCGCTACCTAAAGCGTTTTTGTTCTGCATAGCCAAAGTTTAAGCCAAGGTCAGAAACCTGCTTCGCGAATGCATGCTTCTCTGATGTGCAATATGTGTTGCTGGACTTTGGCGTGGCACATTTAGAGTATGCACTGGTTGGGGAGAACTATTACAAGCCCATTGACACCTCGATGCGGGTCTCGCCACAGGTACACAACCATGTGGACGATGTATAGGCTGCAAAAGAGTGAGTTTTTCATTGTCATGAAACGTGGAAACACGCATGTCTTATTGCAAAGCGATATCATCTACGATAACGCGGCTTTTTGGCAGGGCATAGCGCAGCTTTTAACACAGTTCATGCATTTATGCACTGTAAAAGTACTCTAGACTTATTTACATTTATGGCAGATATACAGGCCTGGGGAGCTAGCATTATCTTCGTACTCAAGGTTCATCTTTGCCGTTTGCAGGATGCAAAGGTTTTCTTTATCCGCATCCTGCGCAATGCAAGACAGCTGCACATAGTATTTACATTGAGAATGAGTACATCAAATGTGTTTAAATGTTTCAGATGTAGTTAACATATACCCGTCTCGTGAGTGCCTCCAAAAGAAAAACATCGCTCATTTGTAACTCGATTTTCCAAGCCTGCCGCGGCAAGAAATATTTCAATCTTACCCTCGCCACAGGAAAGTTACATCATTCGAGACAACATCAATCTGACAACCAGGGTGGCCAATTCCATCACCAAAATGCACACCCTGATCATCAATTGAAGTAGCAAGTCGAAACAGCCAGTTTGTCACCGGACGGCCGAGTCATCACCATTGGTATCAGTTAAAATATGGTATGGTATAGTAAACAGACCAGACAGCAGAGCTAAACCTCCGAGTATGGGTGGAGGAGCATTGACAAGGGCAAGATCGAGGTCAAGGGTAGGGATAAGGACATGGGCAAGGTAAAAATCACCAAAATTAACAAAATTCAGCTCCTCTGAAGACCTCTGTTTGGTCCTAGAATCCGTGACTGGCCAGACCCTTCTATTGCCTCATCGTAGTCTATTTCATTGAAATTTCTCGTATTTTCAGTTCATGTCAGGTAATGAGGAACTCGACCTAGGCAAATGGCTCTCTGACATTCAGGTTCCCGCCCCGTTCTTTTTCAGCAACATGTGCATCTTGTCGACTAGGAGCTTCTTGTCGACATAGGCCCCCCTGTAAACCACGCTGTGCCCTGATACAGGTAGCCACTTTGTATCAGAGTCCCAGTCAACGCAGGAGGCTTTCAAGAACATTTGCAGACACTGGTCTTGTCCCTGCTCCGCAAGTGGGACCCCAGGGTCCAAGCCGACTCTGAGCCAACTGTCCAGCATTAGTGGTCTCAGGCGTACATAGACGCCTTTATCGTTCGGGGACCCTCGCAGGCGCGATGAATCCCTTTGGCTGATCTTTCATGGTCAGGCCTTTGCCTCGAGGTCGTTCCCCGGCCAGCCCTTTGGGCCCTCCGATCGGGCCCTTAATACTTTGAGCCGATGGTCCTGAAAGCCACTTAAGACCTAGCGGGAGGATATGTCCCCTGTGCCTCCCCCCCCCCTTCCCCACCAGCTGGCTGCGCTCCTGAACGTGTAGTATGTACGAAACTCAATGCTAGTCAGCGACTCGCTCCCACA